AACATGAACAAACACTGAACTATTGTCTTTTTTATTAACTAACATTAACACAGATTAATAAATGTATTGTTCCATATTCGTTTGTATACCGCACGCAAGGTTTATGCACATAGTCCCAGATATTTCTTGAGACGAGGAGAAAAAAAAAGATTGGATCGGGAAAGCTCTGGCTTCGTGTGGACGTAGCCTTATATTGCTATAAAAATTATATTTCAAATGAACACTGTTCTTCTCAACTTTCTATTCATCAAAGAATTCTTCCACAAAATATATTAAGCATTACCACTGTCAACATTGATAATATTAATAATAATAATGTTTCTTGAGCACCCTGATTCAGTGCTTATTAGAATGGTTTCTGCAGGATCATGTAAAAACTGAAAATTCAGCTTTGCCATCACGGGAATAAATGACTGTTTTACTCTATTTTTGATCAAATAACTGCATTAAAAAATCGTATTGACCCCAAAGTTCTGAACAGCAGTGTGTGTGTTATTTAGGAGGGGGCGAGCCTAATTAACATTTAATTAGGCTCTCTGAAATGTATCTAAATAAGTTAATAAAACACATTTATATCAACAGTTCAGTGGCAGTCATCAAAATAAGTTGTGCATATCTAGTAGGTGGAGATCAGACGTTGTTTGTCGCTTCGGTTCACAGGGTCATTTTTCTGACAAGCCCATTTGATGTTTCAAGCTCTGGTGTGACAGTCATTACTGGGTGACTGGCTGTCAACAAAAGGAGAGAAGAGAGCCATTCAAGATCCTGATAATAACTCCAGCCAGGACAAGGCTGGCGTTCTCTGGGACTCTGATATTCAGACTTCTTTGCACACCTATAAGAAGGGTGTGTTTCTTTGTTTTTGAAAGTAGGAGCTGCTTTTAAAATGTTTGATTAGCCAGTGCTTCATCCAAGTATGGGTTGAGGTTTTGGAAAAAGGACAGTAAAATGTCCTGAAAAGAGAAAAATTCTCACTCTGATTTTAGTCCTCTAAGCATACCAATGCTTGGTGTATTTTACAACCACATTGAGAAGGTTAGCATGCCCTCATGCAACACATGTAGGAAAAACTCTCCACACCTGTCAATACTAATAATTCAGAGTCAAAAAAAAAAATTTCTCATGGCACTTGTAGGCAGATTTGCTTGAGTTTCCACAATTAGTACCAAATATCTCCCACATCGGAGATGCATCTCTCTTTGATTATCGCTAATGATGAACGTTCACCAGTCATACCTGCAATCTTTTTTCTTTAAAAAGTAACAGTCCATGTTATCACTAGTAGATCTCTGTCAACCATCCCAAGAGGACGAAGACTCAGGACTCAGGAGCTGTTGATCAGATAGACTGCTCACTTATCACTGATTTCGGCTACAATGGACAATGGTCACGAAGCAGGAAATGCAAATAGGCTTGTTGAAGATTGATCTTCAGTTGTGGCGGCAGTGGACAGATCCTGAATTAGAAACGGATGTTGATGTAGGCGACCGCACAGTGTGGCACTCTGGTTATCTCGGCCACCTGCGTCGGAGGAATCTAGCAGGAAGTCTGTGGTTGACATGAGAGTTTCATGGTATGTTGCATATCTGCAGTGTGATGGTGTGATTCACCACAATCTTATTTCAAAATAAGCCAATAATTTGGGAGTGGCAAAATTAGCTAAGAATAACTAGTCCATAGAATGTGTTATGGAAAATAAAAAAAATACTGGGAACTCGCTTCAGTGTATTCACAATTTATGCTGATGCTATTTATCATTAGTTACAAATGTCATCTGACCTCTGTCTGAAGTGAAACGGAGACTGAGTTGGTGTTGGCAGTGGATGTGGGTGATGGAGGGGGACTGGAAGAGTCTCCGTATGTTAGCAGGAGAGAGAAAACAATTAATAATGGGAGCTATTAGGGGGAGCTCGTCGACGCAAAGAGAGAGGTCAGGTTTCAGGCCCTTTTGGAGGACTTTGATGGTACAAAACAGGCCTCATTACTGAGATATTATCTCTATTCATACACTTCCAGAGTTGATGGGAGCCCTGCTGGGAAAGATTAGGTTCCTTTCGCCAGTGACCATCCCACATTGCCGAACATATTTTCTCAGCTCAGGGCGCAACCGGCATAGCATGGCATCATGGGAGCTAAGCAGAGGCCTATTGATGGCCAGTGATGTGTGGAATTAGAGATAGTTACCTTTTCTGTGAGCTCATGTCAATCAAGATTAAGTTTCATATGTTTTGTTTGTTTGTTTTCCAGTACATTAAATACAGAGTTTTTCAAAATCTGTCAAATGTATAGCATTTAAGACAACGAAAGATAGAAAGAAAGAAATATTGTTCAAAAGTTGGGGATCAGTTAGATATTTTTAATATTTATGATAGAAGTCTCTTAAGCTTACCAATACTAAATTAATTTGATACAAAATACAGTAAACAAATAATAACAAGTTATAAAAGTAGTAAAAACTGTAATATTTTAAAATATGAATACAACTGAAAATAATTATATAAAAATATTTTAAAATGAAATTTATTCCCATGATTGCAAAGCTGATTTTTCAGCAGTCAAATTCCCCACTCTTCAGTGTCACATAATCCTTCAGAAATCATTCTAATATTTGCCATCAGCCATGTTTAAGATTTATTGAAAGGTTTAGAGCATGACATTGTCCTGCTGTGTCCTGAATGAAAGAGCTGTGTTGTGAACATGCATTGAGGTACTAACATCCACATATTAGGTTAAGCAAGTTTATCATCACATCTGACATTCGTATGGGGACAGAACTTTATTCTTGAGGTTCCAAGTGCAACATCTTACAAATTATCTAATTACCATCAATTTCCAATGAAGCGGGGGCTAATGTTATGGACTTCCGGGGTCATTGAGGCTGCTGGAGGGGCACAAGACTGCTCATACTGTATCTGCATGGAAGGCTACATCTGTACATTTTGACAAGTAAGTAAAAAAATTAAGAACAAAGCAAAGTTATTTAAGTTTAGCTACAAAATCTTGGCTATATTGTCAGTGTTCACTTGTAATATGTTATCTGGTGACTTTTTGGGGGTTGTTGCTGGGCATTGCTATCTGGTTCCTATGTTCTGACAGTTTTAAGAGCATTGCTATGTGGTTGCAGGGGGGTTTTCTGGTGTTGTTTCTTTGTCATCAAAGTCAAAATAGTCCATCTCCAAGATTCTATCTGTGATATTCCGGCCCCTAGATACAGCTCAGGTAATCCAGCAATCATAAATCACATATCTCATCACTTATGAAAAGTAATAGCATACCTCTTCTGAATGATCTATGATCAGAGGTATTATTCATGTCTGTAGAATTAACATAGCAGGATGAGCTCAAAGTTTAATATTACAGTTAGGGGTTTGTTCAAATCCCTAATCTTATATATGGGCAAGTAATAGTTATTATTGCCTTAGAAGGCTTCATTAATTAAAACTGCATCCACTTTTACAACCTTTTCTCAGACTGTAACCAGCTGTAAAGCACGCTGCATGACAGTGATGGGCACTTTTCTGTGCCATCCGTTTTTGTGAGGAGCATAAACGTTGGCGGGGAGGAGAGAAATTAAAGGTAGGGGTCCACTTTAGTTAGGTTTAATTGGGGATGAAGGACTAAGATGTATGAGAGTAGAAAAAAGACTAGGCTTTGAAGTACAGTAGCAAGAAACCCAAAGGCAGATATGCCAAAGCAGATGGAAATGACTGCGGGGAGCTGAAAAAGACTGCAGACTGCTGTCTCCATAGACTTTTATAGGCTAAGTATGAGTGCTAAAGCTTCAGAGTACTGTTAGTTAACTAGCTACAAAGTGTGAAGTGACTGACTCTTCCCGGTAAAACATACTCTTCAAGATAATTTTCATCCTCTGCCCCTGGGCTGCACACTTCATTGAAACCAGGAGGATTTGAAAAGTATGTTATTCTTTCAGAGCAGAGGTTCGCTTAGACAAATGTGCCACCGCCACATGCCACTCATTTGAGTAAAGCTCACAACATCTTGAACACAGATAAACAAGGAAGCTGTAAATATTTTACTTGGTGTCCTTTCAGAAAATGAGCACTTTTTAGGCTCCCAGCTGTTCATGAATAAAATTTCAGAGTCATATTTACCAGGTCGGAAGCTGACTCAAATGTCCATTGGGACTGTCAACATAAAAGTGCTATTACAGGTAAGGGAGACCTCATTTTTTCTGCTCAAATTTATAAATTTTTAAAGTGGTTATAAAGACTTAACTTTACTTCTGTACACAATAAATTGGGTGTGTTTATCACCTGTTATTTACCTGATGATTAACCTCCACAGACACTGCAGTAAATCACTTGTGATGGCAACAGTTTATTTTGGTTCAGGGCGGGATGTAAAGTGATATGGCACATCTGAGGATGATCAGTTTCCTGAAGGGAAATGAATGACAGTAAGATAAAAGGTAAACAATATTGAGAGTGACATTCACTTAAAGTGACTATGAATAATTCAGGCCCCACCCATCTCCTCTCAGTCACCCAGATGCAAGCCCTGCCCTGAATAAAATGCAGGAAAGGACTAAGCCACCCCACCAAAGAGCAGGCAGACAGCAAGGCACAGAGAGTGAGAGAGAGAAAGACACCCATTTACAGCTTTACTGCCTTATTCAGTCCGTCAGACTTGCTCTCACTGCCACCTTTATCTTATCCTCTCCCTCTCTTTCTCTCTGTAGTCTTTTTGAATCTTTCACTCTCACAGACACACACACACACTCATTGAAATACACTCATTCAACTCAGCTCATTCACAGGCACGGGTCAGGCAGCCTCACATTTCACCTTGCTCTGCCCCTGGCTGAGAGGAGAGAGCCCTGCAAGGTGCAGCCATCACACAGGACACAGGCTTCCTTAACTCTGTCAGGTTGGACTGAGGGACCTGGATGCTCCTGGACAATCTAACAAGATCAAGACATTTCTTTGGGATGGAATTTCAAAGTTCTCATTCATCATTCTGAAGAGCAAGACCAACAGATAGCTGGTTACAAGACCAAAGAGAAACACTTGAGTTTGAAATTGGTCACTTTCTTTTTCAAGGATTTTTTTTACCCTCTCTTCCCATGTTCCTGCTTACGGGTTCTGCGTGAGGCAGAGTGCCCAGCGAAGACCCTCATCATGCCGACTACTTGTGCAAGGTGCACCTTGGGAGTCTGACCCATCATGTGCAAATGGACACCTACTACCGCTGGTCTCCACTCCGACCTCACCTTCGCCGGCTCAGCCCTCCCTTCTTATCCTTTTTCTTTGGTATGCCTGTCCCTGCTCTTTCTAGCTTGCTCTGCTCTTGGAGGTTGCTCACCTACACTGGGCCATGACCCCCTTCATGCGCTGGCACAGGGCACAAACTGCTCGTGGACTCTGGAGCGGCACACGCGCAGCTACAACCACCTCGAGGGTGACGTCCGTCTTCGGCGCCTCTATTCCGCCAACAAGTTCTTTCTCTGCATCGACAAGACGGGCAAGGTGGATGGCACACGTCGGAAGAATTACCCTGACAGTGAGTAGACGCCCAGTGTTTGTCTCCATTCATGTGTTCCTGCAGAAAGGGAGTGGGGCTCATTTGGTCTTTATGATCTTCCATCGACTCTCTTATCACTTGTGGTTTATGGCTCTTTTATTCCTCTGCTCGTAGGGTCAGACTTTTTATGAGTATGTGCAAAGGTGTTGCTAGGTAGGATTTGTAATATGCAAAACTTTTCATTGGAAAGTGTAGGTCCTTCACTGTTATACTGGCTCACAAAATACTACAATTTGAAATATGGTAGTCTGTCTCAGCCCCAGAGACAAAAAAAAACACTTAAAAAGGTAATTGTGCCTTTATCTCTTGCAACTTTATATCTCCTAATTGTGACTTCATATCTCACAATGTGTCTATTTCTTGTTACTTGTGTCTTCTTGTTATTGTGACTTTATGTCCTAATTTGTCTTATTTTTTATGTATATCTATTGCCCATTAAATTTTTTACTCAGAGATGGAAACTGGCTTCTATATTGTAATACGTTTGAGCAGGAGGATTTAACTTAAAACTGAAAAGCAAATCCTTCAGTTTTAAACAGAAAATGTAAACACAACTGTAAATTTCACTGGCAGTTAAGTAGAGTGTCAAATTCTCATGCAAGTTCAACATGTATTCAGCATAAATGTTTTGTTGTAGAATCTTAAAATGTACACTGTACACCGTCAAAAACATTATTTCTGAATTAATATACCTGGTTCATTACCCTAAAAGGGATGATGACTTTGTACTCCTAAAAGGTGTAAATTAATACCTTAGAGCATTAAATGTACTCCTAAGGTTCTACTATAAATCATTTAGGAATATATATAAGGTACAAAGATGTCCCTTTAAGGGTAGTGCCCCAGTGGCGAGCTGTTGTACCCCTTAAAGGCACAATATGTAAGATTTGTTTATTAAGATATCCAAAAACCACTAGAACAGTGTTATATATTTTGCTGACTTGTGTACTTACATTATCTCAAATGTTTCGAAGAATGTTTAAATCCAGAGAATTAAGCAATTTTAACTAGTGACACGGACCGTGTCCATAGTGGCATTGTGTCGCCTGCCAATGACGTCATAACCCCTCGGTTTTGTTTTGTAGAAAACATGGAAACACCAAAGACACTTTAATATGTTGTGCGTTTTAATAGACCGGTGACGACCGCTCAGAGTAGCATTATAACAGAACTTTCAAATGTATCTAGTATGATAAAACAGCGCTGCTTTTTTCCCACATACGCACGAAGGAGCGGAAGCGGTCGACTGTGGCAAAATAAAAGCTCCACTGCTTTCGAGCCATGTGTCACGCTCGTTCAGCGGCCTCGTTTCGCTTCGACAGCTTTCTTCACCCCGCTTCATTCTACTACCTTAATAAATCATTAGCTCATCCATGAACATGATTTCTGCCCGAGTCCCGTCGGATTGCATCGGCTGTGGGGATGAAGTGTGTCCCATGATTCCACACTCAGTCATGGCATCATCAATCTACGCCTTTGATTATTTGTTTATTTTGAATACGCGCCCTCCAGCGGCGAAAATTACATATTGTGCCTTTAAGGTATAACTTTTGGTATCTTTTAAGGTATAACACATTTTTTCTAGGAATGTATTGTATATACTTTTACACTTTAATATTTTAGCCCTGGTGAAAATTGTGGAAGTTAGCATTTCATTTTGATTTAACAGGTGCAGTTGGTCTTCAGAAACGCTACAGTGATAAATAAACCAGATGTTCCTTAAAAATCACTTCTCTCCTACCTCCCAGTTTGATTCCATTATCTTTACACTTTTCCAACTGGAGTTTTACTCTATGTTATCCTGTGTCAGGTTCAGCAGCAGCCTTCCATTAGTTTGAATTTGGGATTTAACTGGTCTGGGTCATGGAGATCACAGTGGGTTGACCCTGGCTGTTGTGTAAGTGTGTGTTGTTGCAAAAGCGAAGTGAGTCAGACTTTTTTCCAGGCAAGTTGCTTTAACTGCTCTGCCACTGTGCAGATCTTAACTGTTGCATGACATTTGTATACAATTTTCTGCTCTCCACGGTTGTATCAGATTAGCTTAGATGCTTGTGCTTGGTATAGCTGGGTGAAATTGTACAGCCCTCAGAAGCAATTTGCTTGCACATTTACTTACCATCCTCTCATTTCCTGTCCCTGAATTAAGGTCCTTTTTAGCAAAGAGGGTCCCCTTTACAGAAAGGTATCATGCATTTACTAGTCTTGCAGAATTTCTCAATATTGCATTTCCTTGCCTTCTCTTTTCTTTCAGGGTTCACATTAGTAGAGGAAATTTTAGATTTTCATAAAAAGGGCTTTGAAATACAGGTTTCATGACTCCGTTCAGCAAATTCAGAATCAGAACTGTTCTTTGCATTGATTTTGTTAGTGTTGCTTTGTTGCTGTCCATCTTGTCCTCTGCATAGACCTCTGCGTCCGTCAACACTGCTGCGTTGCCCAAACAGCCCCGCACTGACTCTCCCTCTCACTTTTTCCAACTCCCGCCCCCAAACTCTCAGGTGCAAAAACAGTTGGAATTAGTCAACGGGCCCTTGGCTAATTGAGGTAGGAAAATATTGTATCAATCCCAGTGAACTGAAGAATAGAACAGCTGAGAGAAGAGGCTTCGATGCAAAGGACTGAAAGAGAGATTGAGAGGTAAAAGATGTAGGGGATATTATTGCATTTGTGCAAGTGCTTTTGCATTGAGCAATACAAATTTCTGGTACTTTTGAGAGTTTTAATCAAACTTCACTCATTATTATTTTATAGAGTTGTGAATGGGCTAATAACAGCATGTTTGGAAGATTGCTCAAGTTTAATTTGTTAGCAAAATAATTTTAGATAGCACTGCTTGAGCCAGGACAAAATTAAGACTTGGAGGAAATGGCTTGCATAATTGATTTCAGAGCTTAATCGGTCACAAACTAGCCTTGCTTTGGCTCCTATTCCTGAAACTTGTTTTTGTCCTGGTGCTGAATGGAACTCAGCACTTTGAGGTTTCCGGATTCAAAGTAGATCGATATCAATCAGCTACAATAAGATTCTCATCATTCACAGTTAATGGTCCCATAATGCAAACTAGACTATCTGATTTGACTATAATTTTGCAGTTGGAGGTGAGTGCAAATGGAGGGTTGTAGTAGTACCTGGCAGTGCTGGCAGTACTGGCTGATGGCACTACAAAAGCGGACACAGTCCCAATCCCTTCACTAGCAACTATTCTGCTGTTGCATAAGCGTGACGCTGAAGGGAACAGACAAGAAAAAAAATCTAGTTTCACTAGCCTCTCAAAAAAACTGGTTAGTGACAAATCATCTACATAAACATTTACAATTTATATCTTGCTTGAATCTCCCATGAATGGAGATTTGCTTTTCACACATAATGGTTTCAGCATCTACCAGCAAAGGCTAACAAGCTAACCAACCAAACTTTGTGGAGACCCATGTGAGAACCAAACCTTGTGAGATCCACCTGCTATCAATATATGCCTTCAATTTAACATCAAAACTCATTTTGATAAAGTGACGCTGTCCATGAAATGAATGTTAGTTTTCTTCAGATATGTTTTTTTCTAACAAGTAACAAATGTTGTAATGTAGTCTACAAGAAAAACTAGTAGTTTAACAAATTTTCTCTGAAATGCATGGACAAGAAACTATGAGTAGAACGAAAAATGGAAATGTCAGACTTCGAAGGTAAATGTAACTAACCATTTACCACCACTTGATGGGTGGTGAGTGAGAAACTAGATAAATCTTAACCAACTGTTTTTGTCTATTCTTGTCTTTGCCAAGGTTGTTTTCTTTTACACTTTTCACATTGCAGGTACTTCTAAAATATTGCTGGCTGACAAAACCAGCTTAGCTCTTTTTTCCCCTTAACATTTGGCTTTAAAAAGAACACTGTTGAATTCTAGGGCGTGTGTGGTTCAGAACATCAAATGCTTGACTTGAGTCCAGGCAACAACACCGCGCTTAAGGAAATAAAGTCATGCAACAGGCATAATCAGAAAAGTCACTTTTGCTAAAATATGGCCATTTTGCAGTTTGCCAGGCCTTTTCCTCCATCTCCCATTTTCTCTCGCTCTCCTTCCATTTCAGCTGTATTTACAAGAGTTGTGTCATGTTTACCAAGTTTCCCCTCACTTTTCTGCATCTTGCTATAGATGTTACTGTTTTCCCTTGCCGTGATTTCATAGGTGTGTTGAGCTTGGACCCAAGTCACGGGAAGAAAATCATCCACCCGTTCTGAATATATTGTGGAATTATTTAAAACATATTTCAAAAAGAGAGACTGTCAGTTCATAGACGCCAAGAGGCCACAGAAGAGAGATTGTGTACTACTGAATGTTGGCACATAAGCCTCTGTAGAACCATGGGAGGTGAAAATAAATTCACAATGTAATTTTTATCATTGTATCAGGTCTGCATATGTGTTATATGAGAATTTGGAAGAATTACAGACAGCTGAATTTAGAAAATGGATCAACAGTTCTCCAGAAGTATCCAAATGATATGAAACAGTAAAGTACTTGAGTTCCTCAAAAAAAATGGGTTAAAGAGTGAGAGAAGGCATGTACTCTACTAAAGATCTTTTATAAGTGTATAGCATTGAAGCACCTGGTCTGTGACAGTTTAAGTGGTAAGGGCACATGGGTGCTAGGTGATTCCAGACGCTTCTGGAAAGTCTGGAAATGTTGCTTACATTTAGCTTGTGGGGGCCTCTTGGACATATTGGTGCCAGGAAAAAAAGAAAATCCTACAAATCCTGCCTTTTTAATCCTTCCGATGGACAGTGGTTCAGAGTATAGTGAGAAAATGCTCGAAATCCCTCTCTTGCCAGGTGTTTTTGGCCCTGGGACGATGAAAAAAAAAAGTGTCACAATATGCTGGAACACAGGAAAGGCTTGGAGCAGGATGAGCCAAGCTGGACCCAGGCCACAGCCATTACGATGACTCACAGTGGAGCCGACGGAGGGAGGAGCCATGGAGGAG